TGGGCCAGATGCTCAAAGGTGTCACCTTCAGGGCCATAACCAAATAACCTCGGCATTGGGTTGTCCTCTAGTCTGAGGAAACAGGATCACAGTTAAATCTTTTATACTAGCTTTTTAAACATGGGGTAGTAAAATTATGGAAGGCAGTGAAACATATGAACAGAGAAGCTAAACAGAACTCATTATAGTTTAAAAAACAATGTTCCTCTCACCTTTTGACTGCTGTGGCTAAGATCCCAATGCTAGTTTCCCTGGGAGGCATCGAGGAGTGACCAGGGGCCACAGACACACTAAGCTTTATAACGGCCTGGCCTTTTTCACTTAACCCGATTCTGCAAATCATAAATCATACACATAAACATAAGATGTGATCAACACAAGTGCACAACACATGTTTAGATAGGTTCTTACAGAGCAGCAGGTCCTTCAAGACCAGGAATGATTCCATCAGATATAGTCAGGCCCTCATCCATGACAAACAACAGCTGGACACCACGTTGCTTCAGAATACGCACTATGTTCATCGCTCCATTGAGACCACTGATCTTAAAAAAGAGATTTTGAAGAGCACAGCCATTAAAATGTGATATTTCCAATCCCACTTAAGTTTGTAATGTCATAGTGAAACTGTTAACATACTTCTTCATCATGACCAAGACCGATGTAAAATCCCCTGCGTGGAGCATAGCCCTTTAACAGCAAGTACTCCAGCGCCTGAAGTATTCCCTAGAAGAAATAAATCAGCTGTTTAGCCAAATATACCTCAAGTCTGTTTAAAAGTAAGCTCACACAAAAGTAATATGTTTTCACACCATTACAGAGTTTTTGTCATCTATGGTTCCTCTGCCGTAGATGAAGCCATCGATCTCCTTTGCAGAAAATGGTGGCGCTTCCCAACCATCGGACTCTGAAGCAGGTACTACATCAATGTGGGCCAGCAGCATGTATGGCACCAGTTCAGGCTGTGATCCTTTCACCCAAAACAAGTGGCTGTAGTTTGCCACCAATTCATGATGAACCAAGCTAGAAGAGAAAACTGTAGGGAAGGCTGACAAAAAAAAACAAGCTGAAAGAGCAATTCTTTTCTTAAATTCATCATCTATCGCTTTAATTAATTGCAGCTCTGCAAGATCCCTCTGCTCCAGAAGGCACATGTGCAGGCCCGTCCTTAATTCACCAGCGAACATCTAAATGATTCAGAGGATTTGAAGAAAGTTCTATTGTCAGATGAAACCAAAGAACCCAAAGAACACCATCTCCATAGACAAGCATGGAAGTGGAAATATTATGCTTTGGGTCTGTTTTTTCTGCTAAGGATACCGGACAACTTCACCACATAGAGTGGCTAATGGACAGGGCCATGTAGCATAAAATCTGGGATAAGAACCTCCTCCCCTAACCCACAACACTGAAGATGGGTCATGGATAGGTTTTCCAGCATGACCTAAAACATACTGCAAGGCAACAAAAGAGGTAAATGGTTAAATAAAGAAGCACATTAAGCTTATGGAGTGCCATAGCCAGTCTCCAGATGTCAACCCTTTAGAAAGTCAGTGGAGGGAGCTGAAACTTCAAGTTGCCAAGTCAGAGTCAAGAAAACTAAAAGTTTTAGAGAATTTCTGCAAAGAGAAGTGGGCCAAAATCCCTCCTGAAATGTGTGTAAAACTGGTGATCAACTTCTGTCTCACTTACTTAAAATTAAACTTCCATACAAACTGGAGACTGTTCTTTTTTTTTTTAAGTGAGCAAGCTCACATTTTCAGCAGGGGATCAAATAATTATTTCTCTCACTGTACAAACAATAAATGTTTTTGAGAAGTCCCCATACACCAAAGCAAAGAAAACTCTGAGACAGTTAAAGACAACAAGCTGTGATTGTAATGAAGTGTTTTCAGCAAATAATGCAAATAGGCTTTTTCAGTTGCTTAGTAACAATCCAATTTATAAAATAAAACATACTGAGAAATGGCTGCTATGTTTATTCTTATAACTAGAGCTGGGCGATATATCGAGTTTTAAAAAAATATCGATATATTTTTATACGAGATATAAGATGTGACAATATCTTTTATATCGATATAGTCTATGTTACGTTAAAGCTATACTTGTGGAGCCGCAAGTTTGCCTCTATTTCGTCCACTTTTGTCTTTACGCAACGTTACTCGGCCTCGCCCCTCCTTCACTGAATACAACTCCCCCTCCTCCCCCATCGCTTCACCTGCAGGAAGCGACAAGACGGACTGCGCATCGACCCGTGCGTGGGGCTGGACGCCGTCAACGTGTTAGCTAGCTAACCACGCTAACGAGCTAACCACGCTAACGCCATGCAGCCCAGAGGCGCTGCACAGCCTAAAATCCTTTCATTTTCTCAAAAGTTGACAGCGCGCCTTATGTATGAATTCTGGTTGTGCTTGATGGCTGCGATCCGATTTTATGTGGTACACAGCGCTCAGCAATCTGTCAAAAAATGTTTTAGTACGACTTTGGTAAGCTACGGAGCTGCACCGCTTGATGGACTGTCAGAGCATTACGGCTACCGAGGAGCCTCGCGGAGTGATACGTACTGTGCTTCAACGTAATATTACCCTACTGTGTATAAGGACCATAAATGGCACCTGTTAAGAGACGTGGTTACGAAGAGGATTTCAAACTCAATGCTGTCAGTCACAGAGTAGAAGTTGGGAACAGAGCAGCTGTGAAATCTGTCTTTGTTATTGTGCTCAGCGTCTTTTAGTTTACATTTTGACTGCACAATTGTGAGCTTTTTGTTATGCACAAAAACAACATTGTTTTCTTTTATTTATGGAGCATTATTATTTAATAAATGCTCATAATTTATTTTTGAGTAAATTTTATGTACATCTATGCTCTATGTTAATAAAAGTGCCTGTGTGACATCTGGGACACAGCTTTGACTAAGAACTCTCTTTTTGTTCTTACTTTATGGCTTTAAAAAAAAAAATCGAGATATATATCTTATATCGCCATCTAGGTAAAAAATATCGAGATATGAATTTTGGGTCATATCGCCCAGCCCTACTTATAACCGCAGTTAAATGTCTCCCACTTTGTCGGGGATGTTTGGAAAGAAGGGTGAATGTAATGTAATGCATGTATTATCCTTATTGTGAATGAAAATGAACAAGTGAAGATCAAGTAGCAATTTCTGCATTTGTTAAACATAAGGACTTTTATTTGTTTTCAATTGTTTTTAAGCAGAGTCAGCTTCTTTTCTTGAATTGGAAGAATCTGTTCTCATGGCACACCTGCAGCAGGTATACATAGGCATCATTTTACCAAAATACACTATATTGGCAAAGTCAGAAATCAACTGTCCAAATCATTGAATTCAGGTCTACACTAATGGAAAGAAGGACACCTTGGACCACTGAGTGTCAGAACAACTATCCAGGATGAAACAACAACAAACAATCCATGAGTACATCAGGAAAAGGGCCACTCTTTTGTTGGGACTGCTGTGTCTCTTGCTGCACTTTTCCATGGCTGTGCTAGCAACAGCAGCCTCTTGTGACTGCAAGGACATTATACTAGTTGTTGCTAGTACAACTGTTGATGGTGCAACTGCTAACATGTTGACTAATTTGACAAATTTTAGTGCACCTGTGTTTTTTTTAGCTACAAAGGGTAGACCAGCATAATATTAAACTCTATGGCCAAGAATGGGATGTAACTCAGTTACTATTAGTGTGAAGGCAAACAAGCAAATACTTTTGGCAATATTGTGTATCAACGCACTGAAAGATACTGTTCCAAATAAATAGTAAAATATTAGATAAAACAGTGAATTGTGTGTCACTGACAAAGGCATCAATTAAGTATTTTACAGTGGAATTGAGGGTTACATTGTGGTTGCTGTGGGTTTCACTAACCAGCTGCCAAAAAAGTGCCATGAACTGCTGTGTAACTTGCTGCTTAATGATGATTATTATTGTTAACCTTTCTGGAAGTTTACCTGTCATCAGATTTGTTCTACACTTCCAATAAAGACTAGAGTAAGCAGGTAAAACGCACCAAAACCTCAGGTCATGTGACTTGATGTTTTGAACCACGTGCATCTCAATGTAGGTTTCGACATACCTGGGCTCGGCAAAACGTCGAAAGGTCAATTCTGAATAAGGTGTACGGAACAAAGTACATCTGCACAGCAAACACTAACTGCGTCTTTATCCATTTATTAGCGTTATACAAGTTTGACATACAAAAACTACATTAACGTTTAGAGTTTGCTACAACTGACCGATCAAATCATGCGTGCAAGCGTCGACAGCCATCAGCCAGTTCCAGTTGAGCATATATAAACAGTGTTGGGGAGTAATGGAATACATGTACCGCCGTTACGTATTTAAAATACAAAAACTAAGCACGTTTTACTGGCAGGTTTACCTTTTCGGAGGAATCTGTCAAATTCATGCAGCGCAGTGGTGTTGCTTTCTGTATTTGAGAATGACACGGTGGGGATGCGGATTGCCTCTGGACAAATGGAGACAAATTGTTACCAAACAGAAGTGTCTCTGCCTCCATCTACATCCACTACAACACGACTCCGAATACCTTTAAAATTTGCTAGGAGCTCCTCTCTCTGATGGTGGTCAATGACGAGCGATTTGTTATTCGTCTTTTCCCAGTGTGCGAGTTGAAGTCCGGCGTTAACGTCCAGTGAAAGAGTCCTGATAGCCGCTATTGTAAATAACAGCAGGACTGTAATAAGCAAGCTGCTAATAATTATCTTTAAAAACTTAAATATTCTTAACTTTGAACCCGACTCAGTCATTGTAACGGCTGTTGTGTTTACCCCGGAACTAGTCGACTATAACTGTAGGCTGAATTTGCATTAGAGCCACCCGCTGCCAGACACAGACAGTCACGCCTACATTATGTAGAGAGCAGTTTTAAGAGCTTATTTCAGTTTTAGTTAAAGCACCATTCGGAGAAAGAATATACAAAGCTTGTGTGCAATAAAGGCTTGTTTTGCAGTATGAAAAGGCGCATAGAAATTTTATTGAAGTACATATCAAACATTTAAAAAAGAGAGAAAAAAAAAAGGCATGCAAGTACCGTGACAAGTTCTGTGAAAAGGCAATATTACAATTAGGGTTAAGAAAATAGACAATTTTTAAAATTAGTTCGTTTCGGCATCACTTCTATAGTAACAAGAACAGTGACAATATTATAGAAAAAACAAAACAACAAAAAGAAAAGAAAAAAAAAAAACAAGTATAAAACTGGATTTTGTAGTTCGCTTCCACAAAAGGGGAAACAAAAATCTGTCGGTGTGAAAGTAACACTAAATTAAAGCAATGTTAATCCTGTGCATAGTCAACATCTGCGTCCTGTGACTCTGCCTGAACCAGAAGCCTGTCCTCACCGTATTACCAATAGCTTAGACTGTCCTCAACATTAACATAAATAAGGTACAGGACACATGCTACAATTATGAAAACTAAAATCTGTATGTGAATGGGTACAAGATAGCGCTCCACCTCCCGTCTCTGCTGGGTCATGGGACTCACAGGACTGTCAGGGTAGGAATACTGGACAGGTCTCTGTGCGGCACCCTTGATGGGTCTCCGTCGAGTGACGCTGAAAAACAATGGAATACACATCCTTATAATTGAGTCAGAGCACTTTCACCATGTGAAAGATGTTCATCTGCCAAACATTTTTTATTTATTTTTTTTTTAAATCTTTTTATTTTATCTCTTATGCAGCAAGTAAGAGTTTCAACAGGGTTTGTGTGGTACTTACTAGATCCCTGTCGGAGTGGTCTTACTGTCTGGAAGGATGTCCTTGAAAGCATCTTTCACAGGTTCCTGGGGAGGCTAGAAAAGACGGTAAAAATGAGTGAAATCACACAAATGAAACCAGAAACAGTAAAGACAGGAGCCCTGCATTTCAAGTAGAATTGAAAGATGGTGACCGTAATGAAAACAAAGGTTCTGCTCCCAAGTTTGATGTACTGGGATGTTTGTTTTGTTTTTAAATTAAAAACAGTGGGTTGGGAAAGGAAAGACTAACCAGAATATTGACGATGCATGACATTGGTATATGATTTGCAGTTACTAGAGTTTGGTAAAACATTTAAGCAATTGTTAAAGTTAATGTGCCGATTGAATTTTATAGATTGATTTAAAATAAAAATGACATCAAAGAAAGTTCAATCAACACCCCATCAAACATATAGTGCTTGTGTAGTAAGTGCATGTGCATCCCATCAAGTGATATGGATCAAAATCCAAATCTTAAGAGCCAGTAAGATGTATATGACACCATTCTCCATTAATGTGAAAGAGAAAAAAAAAAAAAAAAAAAAAAAAAACACCCTCTGAAACAATTCAGCCGGCACCAAAGTTTGTGTGTAAAGTGTGACTGAACACCATAAGCTCTGACCCCGTCTGACTGTGCCCAGTTTTCCTGCACACTGGTCCCATTGAACTCGCACGCATTGTCTGTGACAGACCGTGAGCTCGAATTCTCCATCTATTTACAGTAAGAATGTAAACTGAGCAACAACTCCAGCAGAGATTATGTATAACAAAAATAAAGACTGAATATGGAGCTTTAAATGTGGATCAACTTTCCTCCTCAACCATTTGAGTGATGCTGAAGTATTGAGAAGAAAGTGATGAGTCATCAGTGGACTTTGATCTAGGCAGAACCTGCAAGGTATCATGTTAAAAGCAATAAAATATGATGCATCTCCATATGAATGGTAAATAAAAACCATCGAACTATGGTATGTTGAGAGGTTCACAAAGCAAAAAAAAAAGACTAAGGAATGCAGAGAATTTAAAATTCATAGGGCGCCTACTAAGACCAGCCTACCGTTGATCCTAATCGTGTGTGGTGATCTGCAGCGGATGTGCTAATAATCTGTGAGCACTGAGATTGACTCCGCTCTGAAGACTTTAACGCATTCCGTGAATTCCAGTTGGAACTACATCTTGTGTTCCTAGGAGGACAAGGGCGCTTAAAAAGCCAAGCCCATGAAAGGGAGGGGGGGGGAACAACTTTGTTATCACTTAACAATTCAGTTTGACAGAATGTTCTTGAAATGATATGAAATATCTGCAGTAATTACCAGCCTTGATGAGGGTAAAAAGCACTGTGGGTAAAAAATGTGATTCTGAAAAGTTAAAGAAAATAACATCAAAAGTTACAATTCAAATGCTTTGGCAAAAATCTGAATCCAGTATTAAAACTGCAATGAGTAACCATTAGGTGGCACTAGAGGGAAGTTTTGTGCTGTGATAGAACTGTTGAGTGGCAGTATGATACCCAGCAGATGGCAATAAGGCCAACTTACTTCCAGATTGTTAAAAAGAGAACGTTTAAAAAAAAATAAAATAAAATAAAAAGTGACTCACCTAAAAGAACCAAAGTCTCTAAAATAATTCCTCACCTGGCTGCTCTCTTGTTGGGTTTGGTCTGAAGGGTCAGGTTGTTTTTCTGAACCTGTACAAGCCAGAGAAAAATACAACGTTGTGATACGAATAAAGCAAGATCTTATTCAAATAAACCCCCAAACATTTCTTGTCATACCCAAGTCTTCATCTTTCTCCTGCTGCTTTTCCTCCTCTTCAGAGTCAGAGTACAGTATGGCTTTGTCTGCTTCATTCAACCTTTCACATCTGTCAGACTGTAGCAGTTTATGGAGTTTTCTTTCATACAAGACCCTAGTGGAGGCTGGCATTGAAACACAGCATGAAACCAATTTCCTCTTAAGGTCTAGGTCTATATAGATCTAAAAACCATCTGAATGTTATGTATAAAGACTTTCTTTCAATGGGGAAAAAAAAAATTAAAAGGTGCTTAAAAATCTTTTCATAACCCTCACCAGTTATAGGCCCAGGTTTAACACCATGTTTGCGTAATGTGGCCTTGAGGTCCTCATCAGTCAGACAACTTGGAACAGGCATCTCTGCATCCTCTGGATCTTTCTTGTCCTAACAAAGACAAGATTTGCTCGATTTAAAGTGATAACAGCTGTGAGTTAAATGCCAGGAAGATCCAGGTGTGAAGATAGAAATAAAAACAGCTGGAGGCTGTCATTTATGGATCCGTTCAGTCTTCTAATCATGTTGTAAGTCATTTGCGTTCATGTTTAGATATGATAGAAAAAAAGATAGAAGTAAAAAAAAAAAAAATTAAAGCTATAAAGATTTTAAATTTTATTCACACTAAAGCCAAATAAAGTTACTTTGTTGTACCCCACCAAACCAACTGAAAAATTAATATAATATATAAATAAATTAAAAAAAAAAAATCTGATACATAATATAAAATACCAAATAAAAAAAAAAAAAAAAAAAAAAAAAAAAAAAAAAAAACGAGAGAAAAAAAAATGTATAAACTTAGGTTGCAACTCATAATTCACATTCAGGGGGAGACCAAGGAAACGTCACATATTTATTACCATTTCTCAGTTTAAACGCCTGTTCACTTTATCTTGCAGTTTCTAAAAGTGAAACTGACACAATGTTGTGCTTAGTTTGATAGTTTACCCAAAACATGACAAGCGCCAGCGTTCCCCTTCATAACAGAGCTAGATGAGCGTGACAGGTGCGCACACGCCTGTAATGGTAGCCTCCATTACAGAAACATCTCATGTAACATATACCAACTGTACAGCAGGTGGTTTAAGTGCTTGAAGTCCTCAAGTGTGCAACAGCAAGAGGGCTGTTCGGAAGCAATGGTCCAGAGCTCCACACCTCCAAAGCACACAGCTGCTGAACTTGTGCTGCTGCGGTGTGAAAGAATTAGCATTGGCAACGTCTGGCATTATTGATACCAATTTAATGTATGGACATCAGTTGTGACAGCCGATACTAAAGAGCCGTTGCACAGAGCGAATACTTTGTCATTGTCACTCATTAAGTTCGTCTCTACTTCGAAAAAGTCTACAGTAGAAAAACCATGTAGCCACAAAATATGGACTCACATCTCCTGCACGGTCCTCCTCGTCGCTGGAGAAATCCGCCGCGTTTTTCTGATCAATGTGTTTGAGGTGCAGCTCCACATACACTGCCTTTTTGCTCGCTGCAGGTGGCAGCGCGACGTTATGAGCGACTAAAGCCGACTTTAGACGAGATTTAGAGAGATGGGCGGGCTCCTCCACAAACGGCATTTCACAAGAAAACAACAGCAAAATGTGAGAAAACAATACTGTTCGGTGCCCTCGGTGGAACTGCGAAGAAAGCCTTCTGCTGTAATCAGACTAGATTGAGAACAGCTGCAGTCCAAGACTTGATTGGCAGCAAGAAACTCCGCGTTACATACAGGAGACCAGTATCCAAGCTCGTTGTGAATTTATATGTTTCAGCTGCATGTAATGTCTGTTTGTTAAACTAAGTAGAAAACTGAAAATGCAGTCCAGACTTTGCAGTACAACTTTGAGCTAGAATATTAGTCAGAAAGAAAAAGATTTTTATTGTAATTTTACTTTAAAGCTAAAACTATTCATTCCCAAAATATTTCCATCTAAATGGAAGTCTATTTATTAAAATTAGAGCTGGTGGAGACATACTGCCATTAAAAAGGAAAAGCACAAGCGTTTTTAATTTGTATATTTTAAGTCCCCTATTGTGATGGATACAGCCATTGACATTTAGAGGTTTATGATCAGTTAATTTTTTTTCAGTGAGAAAAGACTGATTCTCATTATGAATTTAAAGATGTATACAGCAGTTTCAGTAAAATAATCACATACCTTTGACTTCCAGGTGTGACCCACACTTTGGTTGCTGCTGGCACTGTGATATATGCTGCTGCAGCAGCATTTTGACACGAGTGATGCATTCAGGCCGTTGAATTGGTGAGTTCTTATTTTCTGACACCTGTGAGCAGATGAAGAACAAAAGGAAAAACACTGGTTCAGGTGGTTATCTGTTAAGCAGGGAATCTAATATGTCAGCAGACATTGTTTTCACTTGTTTTTAGTTACTTTTGTGACATTTACAATTAACCATCTCCCATATTGTACAATCTGACAATATATAACGGCTGCATCATATTTGCATGATCAGACCTGTTTCCAGCAGTTTAACAGTAATAATAATAATATATATATATATACACTTGCGCTATTTGCAATGTTGTCATAACCTTGAGGATTTTTCCACATAATGCAATTTACCAGCAAAGATAAATTCATTATCACTGTTGCATCAAGGCATGAGCTCATTGTCAAGGGTGCTAATCTCAATAATAGAGTTCACTTCACTGATTAATTCATATTTGATGTATTTCCATATTGTTGGGGTACAACAACAAGATGAAAACATCAACATATCCTCCCAGCGCTGAAGATAAAAGTATTATCACTATGGTGATTATTCTGCAGGCTTGTCAGCATATTGGCATATCTATTCCCTACCACAAATTTTAATGTTTAGCTGCTGTTTAGGTGTAGTTCAGCTCACTCTGTGCTGACTTCTGACATAACAATCAGGTCTTGTTTAGCATACGACTGTGTTTTAAGCTCCTGTAACTTCTGATTTAGCTGAACTGGTTCTAAATTCAGCTAAGCTGGTCAAAAGCTGAAACTCAAACTGAGCTCTCAGATAGGATTAGTCTCTGTGTCCAGGATTCCTTGTCTTGCTTTCAACAAACCACTATAGATTACTAACCTGCTGAGTAATAAGAGAGATCGTTGCAAATGAATTTAATTCATTTGTTTCAGGTGCAATCAATTTTAAACAGCATCTCTATTGGAATGGAGTTCTTAAATATTCCTCTTCTTCTTTAGATGCATAGGATGTGTAAATACACTCATCGGCCACTTCATTTGGTGCACCTTGCAGATACTGGGTAGGACCTGCTTTTGCCTTCAAATTGCCCAAATTCTTAGATTCAACAAGATGCTAGGGGCCCAAAGTGCCAAGAAAATCCTCCACACCATTATGGCACCACTAGCCTGAACCATTGATACAAAGTAGGTTGGATCCATGTTTTCATGTTGTTTCTGACCCTATCATCTAGATGTTGCAGCAGAAATGGAGACTCATCAAACCAGGCAATATTCTTCCTAACTTCTTTTACATATTTTATTGACCCCATGCAAGCTGTAGCCTTAGTTTCCTCTTCTTAACTGACAGGTGGTCTTGAGTTGCTGTAACTCATCTGCCTCAAGGTTTGATGTGTTGTGCATTTAGACGCACTCTTCTGCTTACCTTTGCAGTAACAAGTGAATATTTGAGTTACTGTTGCTTTCCCGTTAGATGGTAAATGGCCTGTATTTGTATAGCGTTTTACTAGTCCCTCAGGACCCCAAAGCGCTTTACACATCCAGTCATCCACCCATTCATACACACATTCACACACTGGTGATGGCAAGCGACATTGTAGCCACAGCCGCCCTGGGGCGCACTGACAGAGGTGAGGCTGCCGGACACTGGCGCCACCGGGCCCTCTGACCATCACCAGTAGGCAACAGGTGAAGTGTGTTGCCCAAGGACACAACGACCGAGGCAACCTTGCGATTACAAGGCGAACTCCCAACTCTTGAGCCACGATCGCCCCGCCGATCAAAGTTCAAAGATTCTGGCCATTCTCAAAAATCCTTTTTTCTTTTCTTTTCTTTTCTTTTTTAAAGAGGACTGCAGCACTGTGGATATTTTCATTTTTTCAGAACATTCTCTGTAAACCCAGGTGATGGTTGTTTGGGAAAATGCCAGCAGCTCAGCAGCTGAAATAGTGAAAGCCATCTGGCACCAACAACTATGACATGTTCAAAGTCTCTTACTGTAAATCACCTTTCTTCCCCCTTCTGATGCTCAGTTTGATCTTCAGTGGGTTTACTTGACCATGTCTACATGCCTAAATGCATTGAATTGGTTATATGTGATTAGCTGATTAGATATTTATTTAAACCAGGAGTTGAGCAGGTATACGTAATAAATTGGCTGGTGAAATGTATTAAGGAATTTATATACTCAGAAATTACATTGTCCTATTTGATATTGTTGCATATAGTGACATGCTGTTTGGCTAATAAGCTGGTATGTCTTAAAGTCTGACTTGAAATAAACTGAGTGTCAGAGCAACAAGATACATCGTGACCAGAATGCAATGTCATGCCCGTTAAAGTGTCCACGGATAAAGCAAAACCGATCACCTGAACAACACAAGCGTCATGTTAGCTCAAACACATGTAACTGCATAACTTCACTATATTGATCCGTGAATGCAAACATTACAGAAAATAACTGTTGAATTGTTGCTTATTGCCAATAATTTGCACCATTTTAGATCAGTTCAGTTAAAGTTATGAACCTGTATGCTGTTTTATGTCAATTCGCAGTGCTGCACTTGGCCAGTTGCTTTTGTGACTGACTCAGAGGAAACCGTAAAGGCCATTGTGTTAAAACTGGTGAAATGTTGCTATAGCAATCATCTCTGCTTGTCTTCAGAAGTCACTTAATTTTGTTGTTTTTAAATATCAAAGCCAAAGATTTTTTTTAATGTACACAAAGTCTTCAGATAAGATTCAAGAAGGCCAATTATGGATATATCAAAGTCACGAGATATTCATCAGGGAGTTATTGTGGTCAAATGCTTTTTGAATCCTTTTGAAAAATCTAGTTAAAACGAGACAGCAGGCAAACCACAGCAATTCACATGTGAAGCACTTGATAAACGTGCTGTGATTGTTCAGTTAGCTAAAGTGCAAACCATCTACTCGTGACATGAGTTTTGTCACTGATCATTGCCAGCTCCTCTAATTTATTTATTTATTTTAAAGTGATAATATTAAAACAATCGACCCTAGAACTAAATCGAGCCAAAGCCACTAAAACATTCAACATTCACAAATGTCATTTTATGCTACTTTTTGCTTTACTTTTAATCCAATTTGTTTTTATTTATTAATTACCCAATGACCACCACTGTTATTATTTCACTGGTCACTAGAAAACAATAGAAAACAAAGAACTAAGGAAACCTGGAAAGGAAATATTTCTTCTTTTTTTTAAAGTGACATAACATAAACCCAAACGCAAGCTCAGGAACTAAATCATTAGAAGACGGTACTTGGTTGGAAGAGCTGGAGGCAAAAGGTCCTTTTGGCTCAAAGGGCTCTGGGGACTCCCTGAGGGTAAATACCCACTGAAGGGCTGCCTTGTGAACTACACCCCTTTTTAAAGACTTTTGTTTTGTTTTTTTTATGCATTCACATCAACAGCAGGCATGCTAAAGTGACTTTATAGTCAGTCAGCAGTTGGTATGAGTGAAAATATTTTTCGTTTCCTTCACTGTGTATTTTCTTTTTCATTTTTAAATGCCAGTTGTTGTTGCTGCATTCATGAATGCACTTCCAAGTCTTGACCAATCGCTGTTAAACCTATGTTACTACGTGTCCCTGAAGCAAGATCTAGTACATCTCCTCTTTCATCATTTCAAAAAACAGGGTGTTTCCTCCAAAAATTAAAAGAAATGCAAAAAAAGAGTCTATGCTGAGGCGAATAGGCTTACAAAGATCACAGAGTCCACTTTAAACGGGCAGCTGGTGCAGAACATTCCACATTACTGAATTAAACACATCTCTGTATGCAAAGAGTCGTGACTATGACAATAAACCTCCCACTGGAAAACAAAGCTCTTTGTGGATGTTTTGGAAAGGCTGGCAGCAGCAATAAAAGATTTGTTTCATTTCCTTAACCATCTGCTAAGTCGCACATTTTATGAAATCTAGTCAGTCATTTCCCAAAAAACATCCCTAGGAAAATATCTTATGTAAGCTGCAACTCAAACTGACTATATGTGCCCCCCAACTCCAAAAGTTTGATTGAAAAGAGCTTTGTGATCTCGATGCTCTAGGCTACAGCTTTGTTGATGTAATTACAAAAGATTTCAGAGGCAACAAATAGCTGGTCTAAATAAAATGCTACAAACCCAAAGTAACATAAATCATCCCGCATGCTGGGAATACTTTATTTGTAATTTATCATTCCCTAACTAGTTTGAACTGTATTTGGTTTTCCGGTTTGATTTGGGGGGTTTGTTGGGGGGGGGGGGTTGTATATATGAAAGGAAATCACAATAAAGACACCTGACAATTTTTTTTTTTCCAAAAAAAAACCCCAAACCCAAAAATCTTCAAATAGAGTTCCTCAGTTGAAAGTCCACTGTGTATCCAATGGCTTTAAACCCTACATGACATGTTAGAAAGAACTCACATAGGAATAGAAAGCCATAAGACGCATGTGTGGTTTGATTTGGAAGGCAGTAATACACAAACAGTGACTCGGATGCATTGAGAGAACTCATGTATTTAAGGTCCA